ACTGAAAATAACAGATAAAATACATAGTGTTTTTCTTAAGAAATGTTTGATAACTATCTGGATATTATAAAGATTTTGCATGTGAAATTTGAAAATTTTCTGATGCATAAAAGTATTTTTAATCTTAAAATTACTTTGCATGCTAGATAGGCAACATGCGAAAAAAAAAAAGGCATGAGAAAATATTGCTTTACAAACCTTAAGACTTAATAAAAAAATTTCATATTTTGCATATGAAAGCACTTTACTGATAAACTGCCAAAGTTAATTAACATACGCTAACTACTTTCAAAGTTATAGCATGAAAACTATAACAAGCACAGAATGGTTATGAGGTCAGTCCCAGGGACCGAGCCTGTGCTGAAAAAGTTAAAGCGATAGCTTTCAAGAAAGTACAAAAATTATGTGACTGATCAATTAGTCTAAGAAACTGAAAAAGTTACTTAAGTTCAAAACTATATGACTAATTTTGCTAAGCCAAGGCAAATAGAGTATTTTTTTATGATGTTTTGTAAAGACGAGTTTCATGCAATGTACAAGAAGAAGACTTTTTTTTGTTTTACCACATCTTGAAGTGATCTAGACAACAACAATACACATTACTTTGACAGTTATTTTAATCTATATGACAACAGGACTAGAGAAGTACATGTACACTGGATTTAGATACATTACAGTTGTTAAATTTTCAAGCTACTTGAAAAAGGATAAAGTTAAGTCTTGAGAACACCGATTATTTCAATGGAGAAAAAAAAATCCAGAATCATAAAAACACGAGTTAAAAACCTAATTAGTACTATCAGCAAAACTCAGTATTTTCCCTGAAAGGGAGCCAAAAGCTGTCTGGAGGGATCACCTGTTTTAACCACTTGCATCCGCATACCATAGTGTGTTGTCTGTCAGTAAGTCAGTAGACACTAAAATGACATCACATGATTAATGTTGCAATTTGTACTTTCTTGACCTCAGTAAAACATGTGCATGCTATGAATCACGAGAAGAATTATGCACTCTGAAGGCTACAATACAACATGACATATGAACTCCATCACTAGAGACAATGATTAACTATTATACTCATTACTATTCCAAAACAAGTGTATTTACCTTCTAACTGATTGAGAAGTTTCTTTTTATCTGGGTCATCATCTTCACTATCACTATTGTTTTCCTCTCCTTTCCTAGAATAAAGCCAAAATATATGACATTTAATGTTTCCAAGCATCTACTCATGACTTTGAAGAAGGAAAAAAATGTTTTAAAGTCTTCTTTGAATCTTTTTATTTTTCAAATATATCCAGAGTTGCTCTTAAAATATTAAATACACGTTTTTGTATGATTAATGCATTAAAAAAAAACAGCTATAGTTTTCTATACATGTTTTACAATGATGAATAAAACAATAATTAAACTACAATTTTATGATAGTTATGTATAACAAGTATTTAAGGTACAGTTGTGGCAATCAGATATCAATTATTGTCATGGTTAGTAGCTTAAACAATCACCTAGTTTACGTTTGTTATTACCAAGTACTAATTACTATCTAGTTTTTATCCTACGTTTCAGCTCATAACCTGACGTCAAATTCACGGAAGTCTTGAGAAGAACTGTTTCTGTAGTGATAGTGGTCCAGATTTGATTCTATCTTGACTTGATGATTGTATAGGTTATTAACCATGATGATGACTGTTCTATTAACAGTGATGATGACTGTTCTATTAACCGTGATGATGACTGTTCTATTAACCGTGATGATGACTGTTCTATTAACCGTGATGATGACTGTTCTATTAACCG